GCGGTCGTTTTATTGATCCTGGGGCGCCGCGGCGCTACCCACTCGCGGTGGGGTAGAGCCTGCTGGCGAGAGGAAATTTCTTCTGCCTGGCGAGGGGGAGACCTCTCTTTTCCGGCCTTCCTCTTTTTTATCTTCGCGTAGTCCAAAATTCCGACTTCTCCCCGATTTATCGCCGATACTTTACTCCGCGATCGCGCCTCGCGAGTTCTTTCCTCCTCGCGGTGCAACCCGGAGCCGGCCGGTGGGTGTGTGCGACAAGTCGTGGTCGTCGTCCTCGTCGAGACGTCGGTACCAACGTTTCTTGGTAGCACTCAGGAAAAACGGGCGCGATCGATCGTCGTGGGAGGCGGACACACCGGTGAACCAGTGACCCAAGAGACTATCGACAAAGTTTTTCCTCGTGAAATATCCATGCCGGTAGGGTATCGTAACGTGACCGAAGAGCTTTTAGTAACTTTCTAGAATCTACAAAGAATTTACGAAGGATTTGTGCTGCGATAACAACAAACTATTATCATTGTTTCTGAAGAAGGTTGAAAATTTCGAAGATTTATAGGAAGACAATTGGTGGTCATATGTTTTACATATGTCTACTATTGTCGAAGCTAGCGCAGGCCAGTCGAGATATCGACGAGGTTGGCCTGATTCGATGTCACTTCGGAAACCATCCTCAAACGTTGCCGTGCAAATAGTGACAGATAAAGGTTCGTCCGTAAGTACTTCGAATTATCACGATGAGAAACGTAAGATCTACGTAAGATCCTAAAACTTGTCACCGCCGGATTTGCAAGCGCTAAGCTCTCAAACGCCGGTGGACGACAATCTCTCAAAGGGTGCAAGAGAAAGAAGAGGGACAAGCGCGTGTTTCGCACATTTCGATCGTCTTCGCACGATCGATTCTCTCGATCGTTCCTTGCGAGGCAAATGGACGTAGACATGACCGAGGAAGCTGAGTTCCGTAGGGTTCCTGCCCGGCTGACGCCGATGGAGGCATCGTAAGTCATCGGTGGGAGGGCTACGCCGATCTGAGGAATCGGTCGATCGGTCGGTTAGGTGCCACCAGCGCTTCGGTTTCGACGGAAGTCGGGCCCCGTCCCTCGTCTGGGAGGCGCTGAAATGGGCCCCGCCACCAGCCGCGAGCAAATCGGCGAGCAGATCGGCGATGATTACGGCCTACAGATACATCCGAATCCTACGATCGTGGCGAATAATGTCGTAAGTTTCTCTGTTTTAAGCTTCCATTTGCTTTTGATTTTTTTCTTCATTTTCTTTTCTTTTCTTTCAAGACAATAGGGAGTTTTTGCAATACCATTTATCCAGATACAGTGAACGCTAAACTCAGGTTAACTTCTTCTTAACAATTAATGAAGAAAAGGATAATGTAACTTTAGCATTTACCGTATCTGGATTTACATTATTGTAAAAACTCCATAATATCCTGATTCTCCTAGATAAGATAAAGGATATCTTTATCTTTTCTTATCCTTTTCATTACATGATTTTGGACGAAATGATTTTGTTGAAATATTTTGTTGAAATATTTAAAAATTTAGTTAAATATAGGAAATAATTTTGTGCGTTGTGTTGTGTTGTTGGATCATTGATAATAATAGAAAACTGGAAGAACACTTAGATGAGAAAAAGACTGCAAAAAATTTTAACATTCTAATAACAGTTTACGTTCTACATAATTATTTTGATGATTCAAACAAAATTCTTTTCAGATCCATATTTAGCTAAATATTTTAGCAAAACTGTTCTTTCTGTGCAGAAAAGCTTTTTTCCGCGACTATCGATAGACAGATATAAATACACTCTACTGTATGCGATTTTGTAATGCTATTCTATTTACGAGTCGTAAATAGAATAAATTTCTGTTATTTTTATTGCGGTTTACGTTGTATCGGTAATCTGGAATTGTAAAACTGTAATATGAGAGTTGCATAGAAAGATTATATTTATTAAACTCTAAAATATATTCTAAAATATATTAAGAGTATTTGATTTCTCCGGTTTGTTCAAATCCATATAGATAAAAATTAATAAAATACGATGTTGCATCGGCTTTAATTATAGCAGATTAACAAAAAATAGACACAATCCATACATTTGTATTCTTTATTTTATTTTAACATACATATAATCCTGATTCATTATTTTAATCAGTGTTAAATAACGATCCAATATTAATGCGGCAGGATGTTTTGGTCGATTATTCTCTTAAAACTTTGCTTGTTTTTCTAGGGAGTTAAATTTGTTTTAAGTCTTTGTAATTTATATAAACCTAGAAAATTTAAATGATATTTTTATCTGTTGCTTCACTTCATGAAAAATTCAATTTTTGTAATCTCTCAAGTCAAGTATATTTTTAGCAATGCCTTCACAGATCATTTTTATTATTCATATCATCGATTATTAAGATATACGGATTACACTCTGAAAGTATATATGAAACAACTATATTCAACATAAATAATATTCACATTTCTTACAAGTTTTCAATGAGAATGGGAATCATTTGATTCCTGCAAACACGTTGCGGTAATATCGCATTAGATATCGTTATCGCGGTTAACGCCGGTACATATCGCGTCAGTAAAACGTCGGTATTACCGTGTGCAATAATTAAAATAATATATGTATAGAAGTTCCATGGCTCGAATCATGCACATGTATAGATCGTGACGAAGAACACTTGCAATTTTCTCCCTTGTTAATCTCACCGGACGAAACTTTGTCGTTCCTTCGAAATTATTACGTTATCGCTCATCGTGATTTAATGCGAACTATTAATTCGCTCTTGCATTTTGAAATTTGGCACGTTTCAACAGCATTGCGACAAGATTCAAATCGACATGCAGGTGAAACATGGCATTGCGTGAAATAGCCTACAGGACTACTTTTCTCTCTTTCCATGCATTATTCTTCAATGCATAGATTTCTTGGCAGATTTCCAATCGATTTTTACTCAACAAAAATGTAGTTGGATGTCATTGTCTATATTTAGACATCTTATCTTTCAATGCTAAATCTCTTTGTAACAGAAGATGCACGTCGATTCAATCGAAGAATCCGTGAATGAAGTTTCTGACGTATTCTGACATCCTGATGTACATCTGTTCTATACATTACGTTTTTTATAATCAAAGTCATTAGAGTTCGCGTACTGGCTCTAGGTACCATAATTACCGTAATTATTCACATGTGACTAGATAATCTCACACGTCATAATAATTTGAGAAAGAGAGAGAGAAACAGATCGTGCTCGGGAAATCGATTTTGAGAACGCTCTAAATAAATTATATCATGCAGAACTTTGTACTCGTCGCCAACTGTGGTTCAACTGCTTTGTGAACGCATGAACACATACCGGTGAATAACGCGCCGCCGATCGCGTTTAGACGAGCGACAGGGCGAAAGAGTGCGGGAGGGTGCGACTGAGAGGGAAGGAAGAGAGAGAGAGAGAGAGAGAGAGAGAGAGAGAGAGAGAGAGAGAGAGAGAGAGAGAG